TCTTCCGTGGAAAGACCGAGGGGTCAGCACCTGCTTCCTTTCCCCCCCCCCACCTGCCAGGCTTTCAACGTGATCAACGGGGGCTCCCACGCCGGGAACAAGCTGGCCATGCAGGAGTTCATGATCTTGCCGGTGGGGGCCAGCACCTTCAAGGAGGCCATGCGGGTGGGGGCTGAGGTCTACCACAATCTGAAAGCTGTGATCAAGAACAAGTACGGGAAGGACGCCACCAATGTGGGGGACGAAGGCGGCTTCGCCCCCAACATCCTGGAGAACAATGAAGGTGAGGGGGCTGCAGAGGGAGGGGCTGCGTGGAGGCAGGCGCTCCCCCCTCTCGGACAGGCTGCTGTCAGCTGGACGCTGCTGCCACCTCCGTCCCCAAGGATTGTGTTTCACACGCCCCCCCACCCCTCGACCTTTGCGTGCCAGAGTGGAATTACCTCGTGGGCTGTAACTGGAGCCTTGGTGGGGTGGGGCTGCAAGATGCAGGGGGGGGGAGATGTCCAAGAGAGGGTCAAGTGGGCCAGCCCCCTGCCTCTCTCCTGCCCTTTCATCTGAGGGGCACGTAGAAAAGATTTCACCCCTAAAACAAGTTCCCTAAAAGCAAATCATGTTTTGTAACATTACAAGAAAGTTAATTTGTAAAAATAAGCCACATTCCATTAGAAAAAGTCTAATGTAATCCAGGTGTGCAACTTTCAAGATCAGTGGCTGGGGAATTCTGGGAGTTGAAATCCACAAGCCTTAGGATTGCACACCCCTGATTTAAACAATCAAAATTAGGAAAACCTTCACCGGAGCAGAGTAGGTGGAGAAAGAGGAAGTCCATTTTCCCGCTGGGTTTCAATTAGGGTGACAGAATCCTAGAGCTGGTAGGGTTCCCAGAGGTCATGAAGTCCACCCCACTGTATAGCAGGGATTCAGCTGAAAGCATCCCTGACAGCCTCCGGTGGGCACATCCTGAAGGGGATTAAATCTCCCCCATCATGGAATCACCATCATCATCTCCAGAATGAGGGAAACCCCCCCACACACACACAAACAGTCTTGAATAGACCAGCTCTGTCTGTCCTCAATTCCGTCAGCCCTTTTTCATCTTGCTAAGCCAAACGTCCGGAGATACTTTGTCGAAGGCTTTGCTCAAAACAAGATGGGCTGTGCCAGCAACATCTCCACCCTCTAGGGAGGAGGTCCCAGTCACAAGGAATTAGGAAAGGTCACCCTGCCTGCCACAGTTGCCCTTGGCAAACCCTGCTCCCCTAGCCGATGCTGGAGCAGCTGACCAATGCCCAGAGCCCCCCCCCTGCCTCTTGGAGACTTGCTATCCCTGGGACTCTGGGGCTCCCCTGCTCCCCAGGGTGCCGTGAGCAAGTTCTTGGCGCCTCGGGTGCAACTAATCCGGTCCTGGAAAGCTGAACTCTTTTCAAGCCTTTATGCCCCGATCCTCTTTCCGCTCAGCTGTGGCCCTTGAGGGGAGGGAAACGCCACCCTGGGGCTGGAAGAATTGACCGGCTCTGCCTTGGCTTTGCTCCCCCTTAGCGCTGGGCTCGTCTCCCCCAGATATTCAGTACAGCCCTTGATCTTGTTCCTGTTTGCTTTGGGGGAAGCTACCTTAGGCAAAGCACAAGCAAATGAGCCATCCAAGGCATGAACAGGGCACACGCACACATGCAAACACACATCCTTGTTGCTCTCCATGCCGCTCTGCGCTTGCTTCCTCCAGATCTCTCCCCCCCCCTTCTGTGGGCCTCTTTGGCACCATCTAGCCGGGGTTGTTCTCCCCTTTCCTGCCCGCCTGTTCACACACACCCTGTGCAACTCAATCTTCACACTTTCCAGCGATCAAATCCCTTCAAAGTGTTTCTCTCCTGACATTTTGGAGGCAGTCCACATTCCTCCGGGGCGGCGGAATTCCTGCCCTGTCCGCCCCTAAGAAGCCCCCCCCCCCGCCTGGCTGGACATTCTCGGGTTTAACTTCCACTTAACAAGGGGGGAGCCTTCTCTTCCGCAGAATAATCTTTGCTTCTGTTCAAACACACAATCCGACTCCTCAACCAACAACACAGCACCTACATACAAAAGCAGGTAATCACATTTTGAGAGGACACGTCTTTAATATCAGCAGCACACAACGGTCCCTCACGAATTTACTGACACCGCTGCAAAACCACCAAGAGCCCGTGGCACCTCCTTGCCCATTTCTCCCTGGCAGCCACCAACTCGCCCCCTTCCTTTGGGTTCCTTCCTCCTGTCCCTTTGCCCCCCCCCAGTTTGCCCTCCCCAAAAGGCTCTCCAGGCATCCAGAGCGGCTGCTCGTTCTTCCTCCCTTGTTTGTTCCTCACATGCAAATCATTCCCGTTCATCCTCCTTCTTTCGCCACATGGAAATACGGGCCTAACCCTCCTATTTCAAAAACCAACTGACTTTTTGCCTCTTGGAAGGTGGGCCCTCTGAGCTCAGACTTCCTCTCACAGACGTTTCGTCACCACACTAAGGAACTTCATCAGGGCACCGATACGTTAGCTAGTTCGGGTAAAGACACGTCTGCAAGGAAGCAGCTCAAGGAGGACCCCCGACTCGGCCTCTTTCCGGAATGCAGCCATCGGCAGAAAGGCAGCAGCCGGCTAGCCTGAATTGCACAGACAGGCCAGGGGGTCCTCCGATCCAGAGCCCCCCCTTTGCTCATAGTGGGAGGGGCTTCTTTTGCTGAGCCACCGGCTTCCCCTCCCCCCCTGCAGCCCTGGAGCTGCTCAAGAGCGCCATCGAGAAGGCCGGCTACCCGGACAAAATCGTCATCGGGATGGACGTGGCCGCCTCCGAGTTCTTCCGCAAAGGCAAATACGACCTGGACTTCAAGTCTCCCGACGACCCCAACCGCTACATCTCTGGGGAGAAGCTGGGGGAGCTTTACCAGAGCTTCATCAAGAACTACCCAGGTGAGGAGGGGGCTCTTTTTTGGGGCGCTGGGCCTGTCAGTGTGTTGGGGGGGCGACTCCCCGACACACTTGGGACTCCTCGTTGCAGTGGTCTCCATCGAGGACCCCTTCGACCAGGACGACTGGGAGACCTGGAAGAAGTTCCTGACTCAGGTGGAGATCCAGATTGTGGGGGACGACCTGACCGTGACCAACCCCAAGCGGATCCAGCAGGCGGTGGAGCAGAAGGCCTGCAACTGCCTCCTCCTCAAGGTCAACCAGATCGGCTCTGTCACCGAGTCCATCCAGGCGTGAGTCGCTCGCTGGTGTGGTGGGCGGGGGACAGGGGGAGACGGGCTGAAGGCTCGGTCCCCTGGGCGGGCAATGGGGATGGGGGGGTCCTCTCCTGGGGGACCTCTGCCTGCTTTAAGAGCTTCCTTCTCTCGGCTTCCAGCTGCAAGCTGGCCCAGAGCAACGGCTGGGGGGTCATGGTGAGCCACCGCTCTGGGGAGACCGAGGACACCTTCATCGCCGACCTGGTGGTGGGGCTCTGCACTGGGCAGGTGAGAGACCAGCCGCCCCTCCTCCCTCTCCCTCCAGCCCCCTGGGGAACTCGGCCTCCCCCTAAGTGACCCCTCCTTTTGCAGATCAAAACCGGGGCCCCCTGCCGCTCGGAGCGCCTGGCCAAGTACAACCAGCTGATGAGGTGAGGAGAGCAGACTCCCCCCCCCCAACGCCACCCTATCCTCTTCGGGGTGTGTGTTTTGTGTGTGTGCGTGTGTCTGCTGCCAATGACCGGCGGCCTCTCTGCCTTCCCACAGGATCGAGGAAGAGCTGGGTGACAAAGCACAGTTTGCTGGGCGCAAATTCCGGCACCCGCTCGCCAAGTGAGAGCTCCAGGCTGAGAGGAACCTCCCGCCTGCCGGCCAAAACGGATCCCAACCCCAGTGGGGGCCTTCGAGGCCTCGTCTCTGTCTCTTATCACCTCCAGAAGATCTGTGGAATCGCCCCAACTCCACCCTGGGGGGCTGAATAGAAAGGCTGCTGTGCCAACTACTTTGCACGTTGTGTGTCGTTCTTGAGAAAAGCTGACCAGGCTCTCTCTCTCTCCCTTCACCCCCCACCACTGTGCCCGCTTTCCTGGCATGTGTCTCAGACCTGCCTAAGGGCCCCACGTCCACCAAGCCGAGCTCGGAATCCCCACTGTGAGCAGGGCAGCTAAGCCAGACCCACAGCCCAGTTCCTGCCTCCCTCAGCCCCACCCCACGGTGCACAGCACCCACTGCCTAATTCGAAGGGGCTTGGCTATCCACTCATTTCGAGGTACAATGTGGGACCTCAGCCGGTTTTTCTTACCTGTGCAAATGAAAGTACAAAATCTCATCCCTTCGTCCCAAAGAATTGGAGGCAAGCGCAGGGCAGCACTGACAGGAAGAGTTTAATGGGACGTGTACAGGACACCCCTCCAGAGGTTACAACCAGCCTTCTGGGCCACCATCTCCCAAAACAAACCGGGGGGGGGGGGAAAGGAAGGAATAAAAACCCAGCGTTATTTACAGACCTGCTGAAGTCACTCAGAGACCAGCAAGGAAAGAAGTCCCCAATGCCTGCCCTGCCCCAGAGGAAGCCAAGCGGCCTCCCCATTTACTGGCTGGCCTGTTTCCTCCCAACGTCCAACTGAGCTGGGAACACCCAACAATGGGGTGCTTGGCCAACCGGGAGGGGGGGGGGAGACCTGATGGTAACCCTAAGCTCTGGAAGAAAGGAGGGACAGGAGGCGATTCTGCCTGAAGGGCAGAGGTCAGCCCCAAAGATGGGGGCGGGATGGAAGTGGGAGAATTTGGGTGGCAGAGCTGAGGGGGCTGCAGCCCTACAACTAAGCCAGACGGGGACTCCTTCCGTGGCTCAAAAGCGACATGCTACGCTGGAAAAGTGAGCTGAATCAGCAGAAAAAGAAAACAACTGTGGGGGGGGGATACATATTCACACAAACAACACCCCCCGCCCCGTGGGTACATCTGTTGAAACCTTTCCTCGTTTGGCTAACAGCCTTTAAAATGCCTTTTTTTACCGCATTAAAAAGCAGTTCTAAGTAAAACTTCGATACTCGAGGGGGGGAGGGAGAGGGAGGAAGAGTCCGCCAGTCCCCACCGGATCCCCCCCCCACGACAGGAGCAGCCTTGGGGCGGCCCACAAGCCGGGCCGGAGGGGGCGGCAGGGCCCCCCCTAGGAGCTCTTGGCCTCCTCCTCGCTCTGGCGCAGCCGCTTCTTGGCCCGGATCTCGTTCATGGCCTCCTCGATGGAGCGCGTGTCCCGCTTGTTGGCCACCGGCACTGCAGGGGGGCAGGAGGGGAGGGTTAGGCCGCCCAGAGGGGCTCAGCTACCCCGCGGCGGCCCCGCCCCGCCCCCCTCCCGCGCTCACCACAGCCGTAGGCCTTGTTGGCCTCCATGGCCTGGGCCGCGTCCTTGGCGGCCACCCGGCCGATCAGGTGGCTGTACTTGTCCTTGTAGTCGCTCGGGGGGGTCACCTCGGCCGGCCCGCGCAGCGCCTCTTCCGCCGCCCGCCGCGCCGCCGCTTCCTGGGGAGCAACGGGGGGGAGAGAGCAGCCGCCCGCTCAGACGCCGGCCGGGCCCTTAAGAAGGCAGCCCCGCCCCCTCCCCTTAAGAAGCAGGCAGCCCCCTCCCCGCTGCCCGCTCCCACCTTGGCCCGGCGCCGCTCCTCGGCCTGCCGGGGGTCCCAGTCCTCCCCGCGGCGGTAGGCCTCCAGCTCCTCATCGCAGGGCGCGAACTCCTGGGGGGGAAGGGGAGAGGCCGGTCAGGCAGGGCGGGGAGTGCACGCGGGGGGGAAGGGGAGGAGAGGGGGGAGGGGTCCCTTGCCTTCTTGAAGAGCATCACGTAGCGCGAGTCCTCGTCGTCGCCGAAGGAGAAGGACGCCAGCCCGGCCACCTCCGCCACGTCGTGCCTGCGCAAAGCCCTCCGGGGGGTCAGCCGGGCAGCCCATCGGGAGGACGCCCCCCCTTCCTCGCCCTGCGTCCCCCCTGCCCGCCCCCCCCACTCACAGGATGCTGCGCTCGATCTTGCTCATGGGGCGGAAGCGGCGGCGGGGCTCGGCGCTCTCCTGCAGGAAGGCCGACACCTCCCGCTCCATCTGCGGGGGGGAGGCAGGGGAGAAGCGCCGTCAGCCGGGAAGCCCCCCAACCCAGCCGGCCAGCCAGCCCCCCGGGGAGGGAGACGGACCCTCTTGCGGAAGGCGGCCTTCTGGCGCTTCTCCTGCTCCTGCAGCGTCCGCAGCCGCGCGCTCTGCTCTGCGGGGAGAAAAGGCCGGGCGGCGGCGGGGGCGTCTCAGTGCGGGGGAGGGGGCGACCCGGCCCTCCGCCCCCTCCCGCCAGAGAGCCCCCCCCCGGCCCCGCCCTACCCACCTCTGGCGCGCCGGGCCTCGCGGTCGTCCAGCCCGGGCGGCGGCTCCATGGAGCTCAGGATCGAGCCCAGCAGGTCCGCCATCTTCGCCGCCGCCCTCGGCCCCGCCCACTGCGCGGCGCTGCCGGTGACGTCACCGCGCCGGAAGGCCGCTCTTCCTCTTCGTTCCGGCGCGGACCACACTTCCCGGCGTGCCCCGCGCCCGGCTCTTCCCTCCCCCCTCCCCGCCCGGCCCCCGCCCTAGAGCGCCCCGCTCCTCCGGTCGGCGGCCAGCAGCAGCGCCCGCACAGTGGCGGCCAGGCCGGGCAGGTCTTCGTCGTCCAGCCCGCCGCCGCGGGGGCCGCACAGCTCGGCCTGAGGGGAGGGAAGGGAGGCGCCGGTCAGGGGTTTCACCCCGAGCCCCTCAGCACGGGGGAGGACAAGACGGCGGCGGCGAGCAAGAAAGCGAGCCGAGGCGGCGGGTCTGCTTGGAAAAAACCGTGTTTTGGCCGTTTTTCAACACATACAGGAACGGGGGGGGGTAGTTGGGGGGGGGAGCTGCAGCCCTTGCAAGTCCATCCTTCCTTCCCGCGTGGAGGAAGACCATAAATAAAATATTTACAATATGGTACAAGTGGTAAAAACACAAATCTTCACAATCTCCCACAGTTCTTGAATCTTCAAATATATATATGTATAACGTTTGTGTGGCTGCGCGTATAATATATATATATATATAATTTAACATACATTTAAGGCAGAAGATGGGGACCGTGGCTGAGGGGGAGGGGCTGGGCCAGAAAGGGGAACCGCCTCCTCCCATTAAGGCATTTCCACTGAACTGGGCCGGCCAGCCAACCACAAAGGAGCTGGTGGTGCCAAGCCAGGTTAAGGGGTGAGGAGGAGAGCACAGGGAGGCTCCCCCCCCCCCCCGCCTTCACACAGAGAAGGTCCCAGACGGGGGACTCCACTACAGGTGGCCTGGGAAGGGAGGCTCCTGGTCTACCCCAGGATCGGGCAGCTGTTGTGGCACAGAAGTGCCTGGGTCTCGCAACGGCCACCTGCCCTGCGGCCCTTGGAAGGGCACAGCCCGCCTGCCAAGAACTGAGCAAAAGCCCTGTTTCTGAGTGCAAAATAGGCAGGAAAGGCACCAGTTCTCAGCCACAAGGCCGCAGAGCCCGTGCTGGGACTGGGAAAGGGGGGCTGCTCTTAAAATCCAGGGTTGTTGTGCTTGAGGCGGCTCAATTCCTGTGGGGCAAAAGCAGGCGGAGGCCTTTGTGTTGCCAGGTGGGGCACAGCACGGCCATCCTGCCCCAGGAGGCACTTGGGAAGGGGGGGTGAAGGGGCACGGGGGAGTGAAGGCCACAGCGGCAGGTTCTGGGGAGAAGGCACTGGCGTGGGTCTGAAATGGGAGGACCGGCAGCCTCAGAGGGGTCAGGAGACCCCGGCTGGAGAAGGGCACGGTGGTTGCCTGGGGTTCTTCATCGCCCCAACCCATTCAGCCGTGTGAAGGACAAAGGCCTGGCTAAGCGAAGCTGAGATGGCGGTTAACGATGAAGCCGGCGAACAGATATCCTTAGCCAGGGGCAGCTTGCTATGGCCTGGGTGACCGAGACCCTCCATAGACGTTCTGCCTGAGGCCGGAATCTCTGGGGGACACACCCTGAGTGGGAAAGGCAGGGGCTGCTGGGAGCCGGGTGGTCCTGCTCAGTCAGGTGGCCATCTGGACGAGCGTCCGAGCACTCAGCAGCAGCAGCAGAAGCCACACAGCTGGCAATAGGCAAAATACAACAGCAACATGACGCAGGCATAGAAGACACCAAAGCCGGCGAGCTGGCCGGAGAGGGCGGCGGGGGCGAGGGGCCCGCCTGCCGCTGGGTGCAGCAGCAGGGCCTCCAGCAGGCACAGGAAGCCACGGACGTTGCCTTGCAGGAGGAGGGCAATGTCTGGGCCCCCACAGAGAGACACCTGCGGCAGGCGAGAGAACACAGGCACAGAAAGACAGACACGTAAATGTTAAGAGAACACGGAACAGAAGCAAGGAGGGGCAGGGGAGACGCCTGCTTTTGCTGGGGGGAGGGTGAGAGAGAGAGAGCAGGCCCTGAGCGAAACGGTGGGGGAGGGGGCTAGAACGGTCCCCCAGGGACTCCCCATCCAGCCTCACCTCGGGAATCCCAAGATGGCGGCAGGCGGCCAGGAAGCTCTGCAGGTTCTTGCGTCCTTTGGAGGGGTGCAGCTTTGGCTGTTGCAAAGGAGAAGAGTCGCTGGGCAAGGGCGGCGAGGAGGCTCAGCCTGCCAGGCACGCCCAGGCAGCAGCGGCCCAGGTAGGGGATGCCAGGTAGAACCAATTTCAGCCACAGGAGCCCAGGCTGCCCTGCTGCAGGAATAAGACCCGTTCTCACACACACACACACACACACACACGCGCGCGCGTCCAAAGAGAGGCTCACCACAGCAGGCGAGGGCACGTGGATGAAGGGCACAGAGCGTGGGCACAGACGGTTTGCCAACTGGCAAAGGATGACCCCATCAGCCAGGGCCTCGCCCAGGTCCTCTGCCAGCGTCAGGTTCAGATGGGACTCAATTGCCTGGGGGGAGGGGAAGGAGATGGCTGACGGCTACCTTTGAGGCCAGGGTGGGCAGCAGTGGGCAGGAGAAGCAACAGGACGCCGTCCTTGCCGAGCTTGAGTGCCAGCTGCAGCTCCTCCCCTCCCTCTGGGAGACACCCCAACCTCCAGCTGCGACCTCAACACAGAAGCTGCTTTCTGGCTATGGGGCACCTTGCTTCGACGTGTCCCCCCAAATCCTAGCTGGGGCACAGCCGCCAGCGACCCCTACCTTGCGCAGCTGGCCGAGAAGCTCGCTCTCGCCTGGGGCCTGGGATCCAGCACGGGACCGCGAGGGGCTGCTGAGCGCAGGAGGTGGGGAGTCTGGAAAGACAGTTCGGTAGCGCTCAGGGAAGCCCATAATGCTGGGCCTGGCTGCCACCCTCCCCCCCAGGAAAGGCAAGCTTGTCTCTGGGGAGCTGTGGTCTCTCGGAAGATCGCCCTGACAGGCTGACTGAAGATGCAACCAGCTTCCAAGGGCTGCCCCCTCTCAGCCCCACCAGACAGACCAGACCCCCGCAGGAAAGCCAAAGTTGTGGTTGCTGAAAGTGGCTGAACTGACAGAATCTGGCAAGTTGGATTATACCAGGAGTCTTCAAATTTGGCCCTCTTATGACTTGTGGACTTCAACTCCCAGAATTCCTCAGCCAGCATAACTACGACCCTTTGATGACTTATGGACTTCAACTCCCAGAATTCCTCAGCCAGCATGAGGGAACGAGGACCCTTTGTTGACTTGTGGACCAACTCCCAGAATTCCTCCCTGGCTGAGGAATTCTGGGAGTTGAAGTCCACAAGTCACCAAAGGGCCAAATTTGAATACCCCTGGATTACACTGTCCTCTTCCTCCTCCTCCTCCTCCTCCACCCTCCCCCCCCCAGTGAATTAGGGAGTTTTGTGCCAGGCGCTGTGAAACGTCATCTGGACCTTCAGGACTTGAAGCAGGTTTTGCACTTGGAGCAAAACGGATCCCTTCCTGGTCCCGCTTTGGCTCAGCAATCGGGATCTTGAGCATTCCTGAGAAACGTCTTGGAGGCTGAGAGAAACGCGTCTCGCACTCGCTACGCCGTCCTCTTCCTGCCCCTCACTTCCTAACTCTCTCCTCTGCCCCCTTCCAAGGCCCCTCCTGATCCCTCCGACAGCCAGGAGCCATTTCTACGTGGTCAAGAGGGGCTCAAAGCCCCCTCCGTGTTCCTGCAACCCGCCCAGACGGCCCCCGGCAGGCCTGCAAACGGGCCCGGGGAAGAGTCTCGCGGCCCTGGCTTCTCTCGAACACTCACCCGAACTGCGCTGCATGCTCTTTTGGGACGAAGAGCGGAAGAGGAAGCTGGAAGGCCTCTGCGCCAAGCTGGCATCGCGGGGCGCAAGACTGGGGCTCTGGCAGAGCAGAGGGTCTGTACGGGCAGAAGGGGGTCAAGGTTGATCAGGGACTCACAGGATAGAGCAGCCGGGGGGGGGGGAGACTGTGTGTCTGCGCACCATAACACACCACCTAGGTCAGGGGTAGGCAACCTTGGCTCTTTTATGATTTGTGGGCTTCAACTCCCAGAACTCCTGAGCCAGCCAAGTTGGCTCAGGAATTCTGGGAGTTGAAGTCCACGAGTCATAAAAGAGCCAAGGTGGCCTACCCCTGACCTAGTTGGCGGGGCATGGGCATCAGGGCGTTTATTTAATTTATCAAACAACTCTGGGTGGGCAGAGACGTTTTAAGGTTTCCCGGCAGACACCTGGCGGTTTGTGGTCTCTTTTGAGGAGCCGTCTGGGGAAAGAGACGCGGGCCTTCCCCTGCCCGCTCTCTCACACAAAAGGGAAAGCTGGGGGTGTCAGCAGAACTATGGTGGGAAAGGGCCCCTGAACAGGCACCCGTGTCGAAAGAACGTGTGTGTGTGTGTGGGGGGGGGGTGAATGCAGGAGAGGCCCGCGGGAAAGGCGCTCCATGCACTGGGCGAGCCTAGGAGGCAGGCTGAGCCATCCCCAGAGCTGGCTGAGCATCCCCGGAGCCGAGTCCTTGCAACAGAGCCCCAACCCACTCAAGGAACTGGCTGCTTCTCCCTCTCCCTGGCCGCCAGGACAGAGCCAGGAGGGGGGGGGAGCTCCCAAAGCTCCTGAGTCGGGGGAAGGGAAATGGGGGGGGTCCTACCTGCAGAGCATGGACTGTGCCTGGGGGAACCAGCCGGCTGTCTGACTCCCTGCAAGGCCACACAAAGAGAGGAGGAGGTCAGGGCCCAGCGCCCGTGTTCAGATGGGGTGCAAAGCCAGGGGGTTCACCAGATCCCTGCCCATTGGACAAGCATGCACCCCAAGTGGGCGGCTGATGAGACTGCCAGTGGTGGGGCTACCAGGAGACCCAGCATCCACGGCACCAGCTCCGCCCACACACAGACCCAGACCCTCGGGCTGAATTCACACAGCCCAGAAAACTTTCTAAAAGACGCAGGGCAAAGGTAAACGGTTTCTGCCCTCTCCTCAAGGCCCGAGGTTCCCACAATGGGCTGAGCCAGCGGCCAGTTCCCTCCACCTGCCGCACGTTCCCCTCGAGGGCGGCCCCAGGGCGAAGGCAGCCCTTGTTGCTGCTCCTACCTGGGCACGGGGCTTCGGCTGAGAGAGGCCACTGCCCTTCTCTGCCGGGCTGCTGCTGCTGCCGCTGCGGAAGGAAGGAAGAGGCGCCCTCAGGACAGGAACCCAAGCAGCCCCACAGGGACCCTGGTGCCCTGGTCAGCCCTCCAGCGCTGGCCTTTGGGAAGGAGCGGAGTCCTTCCTGAGGAACCGGGGGGAGGACGGGGTGGGAGGCAGAGAACGGCCCTCGCACAAGAGATCCAGAGGATCCAATCCTGGAGGGGGCTGGAGCCAGCTATGAGGCCCTTAAGAGTTTAAGAGAGCAAATGGGGAGGGGGTCAATTCCTTCCAGAGATTGAAGGGGCACTTCCTGGAGTGGAAAGGCTGGCAGAGGGCATCTGGTCATCTAGCAGGAGGCACGGCGGCTTCAGCTGCCCCTGCATGTGCCCGCAGACCCGTGGAGAGGATGCCAACCGCCAGTTCCCACTCAACACGGGCTCTGTGGACTGGAGACTGGGGGAAAGACCGACTCCACCAGCTGGAGGGCTGCGAAGCCACTGCCCAGGAGCCGCAGATGCCCATCCCACGTCCCAGGTGACCACCTGTCCAGCCTCTCTGCCCCCTGGCTCCACCGCTGCTGCTGCTGCTGCTGGCGCTCCCTTTCCTGCCACAGTAGCAGGAGTTCAGGGCGACGGCGCTCCTCCACTGAGACCTCCGGCCTGGCGAGGGGGCCCCCACTGCTGCTCCTGGAGAATGGGGAGGAAGGCAGCAAGTCCATGGGGGGAGCTGCTCTGCGGCCAGGCCCCAAGCCAAGCCAGCAGTGGGGCCCCAAAGCACCCAGTCCGCAGAGCCAAGGATCGGCCAGGCGAGGGGGGCAGGCAGGAGAGCGGCTGGCCCTACAATTCCTGGAGGGAGGGAGGGAGAGCAGCCCCCTCCGGGCAGGGAAGCGGCAAGGACGGGGCAAGGAGGGCTGGGCAAGGCCCCACCTCCTACGGGCCCCCCAAGGCCACGCAGCTGGGCAGGGAGCCCCCTTACCTGCCAGTCAGTCCTGGGTCTGCAGCTCCCGCCTTCTGAGAAGGGATCCTGGCCGGTTTCTGGGGCTCCTGTGGGAGACGGGCACAGGAGAGTCAGTGCGGAGGAGCAATTTCCCGCCTGCCCCCCTCCCACCCCCCCCAAGAACCCATCTTGCCCAGCATAGGAATCGGAGTACTTTCCGTGGCCTCCCAGAACAGGCTCCTAGCCGTTTCCTTGAGGGCCAAGGGAGAGGGACCCCAGGGCAGCTGCCTCACCTCCTGGGACGCCGTCCTTGGGGAGCCGGTCCACGCCTTGCTGGCCTTCCCAGCCGGAGGGGGGCCCATGGCCTCTTCCTCCCCCAGCAGATCCTCCTCCTCTTCCTCTTCCTCCTCCTCCCCGTTCAAGCTGCTGTCAATGTAGTCGATTTGCTCCAGTTCGCCGGCATCACCTGGAGGGGGGGAAGAGCTGGCCTCCAGTCGCCTGGCCTCTCTCCGGCCCTCCTCAGCTATGGCCAGGCTGGTGCCCCCTCCGCGCTCACCTGCCCCTCCGCGCTGCTCCCTCAGCTGCTTGGGGTCGCGGGCCAACTCAGCAATGCGGAAGGAGAGGTCAGAGAACTCGTCGGTGGACTGAGGGAGAGAGAGGCCCCCGGTCACAGAGGGGCCGGACCGAGGGGCCCCCGGTTCAGCCGTGGCCACGGACAGGCTCCCTCCACCAGCAGGGGGAAAGGACGAGGGGACTCCACCCACCGGGCCTGCAGGCCACGACGTACCTCATTCCCCGACCACCGCTTGCTGCCGCTGTCCACGCTGTTGAAGCCCGAGTCGAGGCCGCCGTACTGTCGGGCCGGGTAGAAGTCCTCCGGGAGGCTGCAAGGCAGGACGGAAGCCGAGGCGGCACCGAGAATGAGACTCCGGCCACCGCTAAGGCCCTTCCCTCCGGCCGGAGGCCAAAACCGGCATAGTGGCCGACAGCCCCTTCCAGGGCCGCCCTCGGCCTCTTACCATGTGCCAAAGCCGGTGGGGCGTCCCTGGGCGAGCTCTGCCAGGCCCGGCCTGCCTTTGCCGCAGGCCTCCATGTTGAGGTATTTGAAGATGTGGACCTTGCCTTTCAGGCAGACCTGCGGGAACGGGACCCCGTCAGATCCGGAACAACCAGCCCCTCCGCGAGTCCTCCCTGCCTGGCCAGCTGGGGTGAGGAGGGCATCTCCAAGGGCCGGGCGAAGCCCTCCAGGCTGCCTTCGTCCAGCCAGCCAAGGAGCAGCCCAGCCGGGAGGGACAGCTCCTTTCCGAGGCTCCAGACGGAACCGGGCCTGGCCGTCTCGTCTGCCTACCTGAGCAGGTGGGAACTGCAAAGGGTTGTTCTCCAGAAGGATGTACTGCAGGCGGCGCAGGAGACGGAAGCAGACCGGGAGGCGGGTGACCAGGTTGCAGGAAAAGTCCAGCCGCACCAGCGGAAGCTCGGCCAACTCTGCGGAGGCAAAGGGGGGAGTTGGAAGGGCCCCGCGGGCAGCCAGCACCCAGGCGCCCAGGAGAGGGACTCGACCCGGAGAGGCCGGCGGGCCGACCCGCTGACCTTCGGGCAGGACGGTGATCTGGTTCCGGCGAATGTTGAGATCCCGAAGAGACTCCAGGCCTCCCATGGTCCCCGGGAGGGACCGTAACTCATTGCTGCTCACATCCTGGTCAGGGAGGGACAAAGGGAACCGAGTGAAGCCCCTGCCCCCTCCCCCAAAAAGCAGAGACTGCCGGTAGGAAGGGCACAAGCGTGCCAGCCACTCCGAAGAAGAGCCCTCCACGCCCCGTACCTCAAGCCTGGCCTGTCACCACCGCCGTCCCTGGACAGCCCCAAGAGGGCTCTGTGCTGTGTTGCAGCCAGGAGGATTCGGGCAGCTTCCCTCTCTCTGGCTTCCAGCTTGGAGCCGGGGCCTCCGAGAGCCCGGCCTGCGCTTGCCTCTGCCTTCCTCCCGCCCACCCTCTGCGGCTGGCAGACTCACCAGTTGGCGAAGGCTGCTGAGGGAGCCAATGTCCTCCGGCAGGGCGGCCAGCTTGTTGTTGCTGGCGATGAGGACCTTGAGGGGCAGCTGGCAGAGGCAGGCGGGCAGGGCCGAGATCTGGTTCCGGCTGAGGGGAGGGAGGGAGGCAGGCTGGCTGTGAAGGCCGCTGCGCCCGAGAGCCCGCCCGGCCCTCTGCTCCGCCCGCCAGCTGCCCCCCTTCCCCGGGTACCTGACGTTCAAGTAGGTGAGGGCCTGGAGGTTGGCGATGGCGGGAGGGAGGCTGCGCAGGCAGTTGTGGTACAAGCTCAGCCCCTCCAGGGACATCAAGTGGCAGGCGTCCTCGGGCACTTCGGCAAAGCGGTTCCGCGACAGATCTGTGCGGGGGGAGAGTCATGAGACGCCCAGGACCCTTTCCAGGGGGAGCTGCCGACAGGGGCGGCGACCCAAAGGGGAAGATGCCCTGTTACGACATGCCCCCGCCTTGGTCCCCAGGCCCCGCTGTGGGTCCACCAAAGCCTGGAAAGGCCTGATGCTTCATCTCTGCAAGGAAGAGAGGCCGGGCGGGCACCTCTGAGCAGGCAATGCCCACAACGCCTTGATTTAAGGCCGAGGAGGGCCAAGAGGAACTGCATCTGCTTGAGCAGCCTTCATCCGCATCGTTCATCGGCTCCCGAAAAGCAACTTCCTCTCCGGAAGGGAACTGACCGCCAAGCCCTTGCCCTGCCAGTAAGCCCCGCGGATCAGCTGGACACCAGCCCTCCGTGAGGGGGGTGGGTGCTTCTTTCTCCAAGGCCTGTCCTCCCCGAGTCACCCTCCCCAGCCTCAGAGCATGTTTGGGGGGGCATGTCAGCTTCTGAGATAATCCCCCACCATCAATCCCGCAGCCCCTGCCTCACCTGGGCTGAGCCCGTCCCTTCCTCCTCCGAGTCTGGAGGGGCCCCTTTGCCGTGGTGTGTGTGTGTGTGTGTGTGTGTGTGTGTGTGTGTGCGGCCATGTATGGAAGAGACCAATGTGCTTTATATTCTTTGGGCACCTGAGAGGAGCAGGTCCCCAGAACAGGCGACTGTAGCAGAACAACAGAGTTGGAAGGGACCTTGGAGGTCATCTAGTCCAGCCCCCTGCTCAAGCAGGAAACCCTGTACCATTTCAGACAGACAAATGGCTGCCCAATCTGTTCTTAAAAACCTCCAGCGCTGGAACAGCCACAACTTGCCGACTCGGGTTGCTGCTCTTTAAAGGCACAAGCCCAGCCTGGCCCTTTAAGCTACCCGTAAACCCAGTTGTGGGTTCTCCCTAATGATGGCCAGCCCCCCCTTTGGCTTCTCCCTGGGCTGAAGATGCCGAATACTTTGTGCCCCGCTTAACTTCACAACGCAACAGAGACATTAGAGCAGTGTTTCTCAACCTTGACCATTTTAAAGCATGTGGACTTTAACTCCCAGAATTCCACAGCCAGCAATGCTGGCTGTGGAATTCTGGGAGTTGAAGTCCACATGCCTTAAAATGGTCAAGGTTGAGAAACACTGCATTAGAGGGTAACTGGTGCTCACGACACCTTCTAGTTCCTGATGACCATCTTTGGCCCTTTTAGCTTTGGAAGAGCAAATACAACTGTTCAGACCTCATGCCCCCCCCACACACATAAGGGACCTCCCTCCTTGCCTCATTTGGCACAGGCTGAATTTTCCGGCCTCTTGCTTAAGTCAGATATCGTCATCTACAGAGGGAGAAGCTTGACTTAGACCAGGGCTCTCCAAAATTGGCCCCTTGGCATCAGCTCCCAGAGCTCCCCAGCCAGCTGTCCTTTGGAGACCCCTGAGTTAGATAATGTTTCTCTCTGTCTGGGGAAGGGGGGGGGGTCACAGAAGAAAATAACCTCGCCTTCTGAACTCGGACCCGGCTGGGAGCTAACTCCCCTTTCCAAGAAGCCCGGTCGGTTTCACAAAACTGGGCTCCCTTGTTCCAGGCAAACGGGGAATCCCCCCCCCCCCAAAGCCTGCCAGGCTTTCATCCGGGGAGCCCTCTGGGGTGGGGAATGCCTCCAGCCGTGGGCCCAAATGGAGGGATTTGCCAGCTGCTTCTTGCAAGAGCCTCTGGGGAGGAGGGCAGCCAAGACGCTGCACTCAAAGTGGATTGAAGTTTTGGAGGCAGCAGCTGCTAAATTTAGAAGCAGCTCCAGCACATCCAGGGAGCAGCTCCCCCCAGGATGGGCTCTTCAGCCAGAGCTGCCCCTGAGCCCCCCCCCCCATCCAGGGCCGTCTGGCCAGGTGAGCTTGGTGCCATTTTCAGTTGCACGAAAAGCCGTTTTTAAAACCCTACAAGGCAGGTACGGTGTCCCAAAAGGCAGCGTTTCAACAATTTAAACCCAGGGCAACGTAATGGCCAGATAACCCTTTGGAGGTGTGGCTGATCCTTCCCTGAGGGATCGCTGGATCCCGTCTCTTTCCCCCTCAAGGCTTTTCGAGATGAGTGCAAAGAAAGCAGGGGGTTGGTCTAGAAGACCCCCGAGCCCCCTTTCAGCTCTGCTGTTCTGTGTTCTAAAGGCCCGGGAGATCCACAACACTCACTACAGCCCAGGTATCATCCGTGGACGCTGCTTCCGTTCTTTCAGCCCCAAATCCTCTCCCCTCCTTAACACTGAGGGGTTTCAAGAAGAGGCTGCACAGCCACTGGTCTGGAACGGCACAGGTTTCCTGCTTGAGCAGGGGGTTGGACTAGCAGACCTCCAAGGTATCCTCCAGCCCGGTCATTCTATCTCGTGTCCCCCCTCAGCCATCCAACTTTTAAATGGTTCCTCATTACATCAGGGGTCTTCAAACTTGGCCCTTTTATGACTTGTGGACTTCAACTCCCAGAATTCTGGGAGTTGAAGTCCACAAGTCACAAAAGAGTCCTAGTTCCCTCACGCTGGCTGAGGAATTCTGGGAGTTGAAGTCCACAAGTCATAAAAAGGGTCCTAGTTGCTGGCTGAGGAATTCTGGGAGTTGAAGTCCACAAATCATAAAAAGGGTCCTAGTTTCCTCACGCTGGCTGAGGAATTCTGGGAGTTGAAATCATAGAAGGGCCAAATTTGAAGACCCCTGTCCTATACCATTAGGAGCCCCAAACCGTCCCATATCTAATTGCAAACCTTCCCTAATGTAGATTACCTATCTTCAGCCCATAAGATCACATGCAGATTTTCTTGGGGGGGGGGGAATGATGGCAGCTGGTAGATGGTAGCACGGAGCCAACCGTCCCCCCCATCCCAACCTGAACAATGGCAACAGACCAGCTGGACCTCTCCACACAGAGGGCCTCTGTCCTGCTGACCCATGGGGGGAGGGGGCCAAGGCACCCTCGAGGGCACTCAGGCCATCTCCGCAAGGCGGCCAACTGACGGACTCGGAAGCCATGGCCCTGCACCCACCCTGGAGCCCATGGCTCTCCTCAGTGTGGCAAGCAGACTGACGCTGGGCGTCTGCCGGAGCATGTGCAGAGAGCTGCTCCCACTTCACTGAGCTTTGCCCTGCCGCCACCGGGCTTCCTTCGGGGTTCACAACTCAAGCCAGTCGGCCACCGGAAGGGGCTGGCCTGGGCTGTTTGGGGATGATGGGTCCGGAGGTATCACAGTCCCAGACGGGAGATACCCTCCAGTTGTGCTCGTGTACACTCAACCCTTTCCTGTGCACCACACCCCAGCACAAGCTAGACCTGCGGGCAACGTTTATGACTCCGTGTTTATTACATTTGACAGACGCAGGCGCGGGGAGGAATCCAGCTAGCTACAACCGGAAGAGGAACAAAAATAAATACGTTTTTGTCACAATCAAAAGACCATCGAAACCAAAACCGACTCCAGGCGGGTCCCAGGCGGCCAAAGGACTCCTGTGATTTGTGTCTGAAACACCCAGCCGAGGAAGGGGGGGCCATGTCCACCTCCAAGAGTGGCTCCTCAGGACCAGTCAGGGCCCTGCCTCTGGGTCAGCTCCCCCCCCCAGTGCCTGTCCTCTGCCCCCCCCCCCCCGCTCCAGCTGAGCCTTCAGTGGGAGCCCCAACCAGCAACAGGGCAGAACACAAGAGGTCCTCTCTCCCCACCCCACCCCACCCCCGGGGAGGGAAGGCTCTGAGGGGTCTCTGGGATCGAGGGGGGGTGTCTTTAGCCACCATGAGGACAGCTCTGCTCCCCCAGAACTGGTGCTCGGGTGGGGACCCTGAGGCAGCCCTGCCTGATTCCCCCCCCCCCCCGCCATTCCATGGCAGGTCAGGGGGAGGTCTTGCGTCTCCTCTCAACCCCTTCATTGTGCAACTTCAGCCCAGCCCAGGCTCAGCTCTGACTTCAGGGCGGGGGGGGGGGGATCCTCCTGCCCTCCCTCTGTGCTCCCTCCCAGCACAGCCCAGCTTCAGGGCCCCAGGCCTCCTCCCCCTGGTCAACGGGTGCAGGCCAGGCCCTCCCCCTGCTCACCAGGAGCAAAAGTGAACGTGCAGCCAGGACTGCCCAAGGACCGGTCAGAGGCCCTCCAGGCAGCCATGAGGACTAGAAACCTGATTTATCAAGGTTGACCTCTGCCCCACGCGGGCAATTGCAAGGGCCCCCAGCCCAGACAGCAGCAGTCATGAAAGCTCTGCATGCCCAAATAGCCTCTTTATGGCAGTTCTGAGCAGGACTTGTGACTCCCCGCTTCCGGAATGGAATCCGCTGGGCAGCTGCTGCTCCCTGATTTCCACTGGGTGGGGGGGCGGGGGCGAAGGGCCGGCTGGAAGCGGATCCTTCCCAGCCGTGCGGTGTTTTGCAGCTGCCCACAAAGATCCCAGATCAGAAGCAGCAGCTGCCCCTCGCCTGGGGCACGCAGGCAAGAGATGATATGGGGGGGCGCAGGGGGAGCCGAGAGGAAAATCAGAGCAGCAACTCCGGACCAGGCCTAAAAATAGCGCCCAGATGGTTTCCTTCTGGGACAAAACGAGGGCAGCCGGTCCGACACAGGGAAGCGTTTGGAAGGGGCCAGAGGCGGGCTGGAAAGCAAGCACCCTTTATCTGAGGGGGGGAGAGGGGGGGCTAAAGAGTGAGAGACCAGAACCGGGAAAATACAACTGCTCAGGCGCTCCTGCCAGCTCCCCACACACACACACCCACCCACGAGGGCATGAAAAGCCCCTTCGTAGCTGGAGTTGGGGACCCCCCTTGCTGCAAACAGGGGAGGGGGCCGGCTGGGCCCTTGTGCAAAAAGAGGAAGGCCAGGTCACCGGCCACTCAAGGCCACAGGAGAGAAATGAGCCAGCAAGAGGTTTTACCAGCACCACATCCAGATCTGAATGCCAGGAACTCAAGACTCTGGGCTCCGCAAAGGGGCAGGCGGGCCGGCCCAGCCAGGCCTCCCCCAAGCGCCGCAGAGGG